TGAGGGAAGCACCAGTGACACAGAAGTGACCCCAAACCTGGAGCCCTCCTCCATTCTTGGAGCATCCTTGGGGATGAGCTGCATTTTGGGAAGACAGAGGTGCTGGAAAGGTCCCACAGTGACACAGGGGAGGCTGAGGGAAGCACCAGTGACACAGAAGTGACCCCAAACCTGGAATCGTTCTCCATTCTTGGAGCATCCTTGGGGATGAGCTGCATTTTGGGAAGACAATTGGGAGCCTCCCAGGTCCCCTGTTTCAGAGCAGCTGAGCCTGGAACCACTCTCCATCATTGGAGCATCCTTAGGGATGAGCTGCGTTTTGGGAAGACAACCAGAGGTGCTGGAAAGGTCCCACAGGGCAGGCAGTGACACAGGGGGAAGCTGAGGGAAGCACCAGGGACACAGAGGTGACCCCAAACCTGGAGCCCTCCTCCATTCTTGGAGCATCCTTGGAGCAAGAGCTGCACTTTGGGAAGACAATCAGGTGCTGGAAAGGTCCCACAGTGACACAGGGGTGGCTAGGGAAGCACCAGTGACACAGAGGTGACCCCAAAGCCCAGCAAGCCCCACCTGAGCCCAGCCAGCAGAGCTGAGCTCATCAGAGCTGTGTTCATTAAGCAAAGCTGCTGCAGGGAGGGGACAGAGAAGCTGCCTTTGCTTTGTGAGCAGATGCTTGTGGGGTGACCTCAGCATCCCCCCAGCCTACAAAGCAGCCTTGCAGGAAAACATGTCAGGGATATTTTTTTTTTTTTCAGGCTCTCTGTGAGGATACAAACTTGCCAAAAAAAATCTGCTAAGAATGTTTGGTTTTTTTTTTTTTTTTTCTTTTAGCGGGAGAGGAGCTGCTTCTCAGCCAAGGATTCTGCTTATCAACAAATGGAGGAGCTTTAAGGTGACTCCTAAAGGTTTGGTGGTGTCAGAAGAAACAATCTCCACCTGACCTCCTGCTTGTGGGGTTTGTGCTGAGCTTCTCTGAGTTTGTGCTGGGGACCAGTTCCAAGACTGGTCCCAGTTCCAGGAGAGCTCTGCAAAAACACCAACTGTACCTGTAATTTCCAGACACAGATCCTCCCCCAGCCTTCTCCATCCATTTTACAGCAACACTTAAAGCATGTACAAGGAAAACACAACGGCAGTAAAAGAATAACGGGCAGAGTGCAATTCCAGAGAGCTGCTGGCAGGGAATAAAACAGGCCTTGTAAAACCAACCTTCAGGAGAAGAGGTGCCCTAACAACCTCCTCATCAGGAGACACTTGAGGACTTAATTGTTAGTGCCTTTAATTGCTTGCCATTTTCACACGCAGCTGGATCTGCCTCCCATCCCCAGGGGCAGGGGGAGCAGAGACCAAATCTGATCTGCAGGAAGCCTGAGCACGCTGGGGAATCCTTGCAAAGGCCATAAAAGATTTTCCCCTATCTCCCTTCTCTCCTTCAGGACAGCGAGGGGAAAATCCTGATCAGCTCCAGCTTGTGCCACCACATCTTCTGCAAGAAGTGGGGCTTGCTGCTGGGATTGATGCCTTAAGTTTTTGCTTTTATATTTTTCAGGTTCTGTGTCCTTCCCTCCACAGCCCAGCCAGAGCATTGCCACTGCTCCTGTGAGAGAAAACCTCCTCTGACAGCCAGGACTCACCCTCCTGTCCATCTGCAAGTGGTTTTAATTGTCTTTTATTAACTGTGGTGCCTTCTGAGGACAGTCACCGAGAGGTTCAGTTCATACAGAAAGGATTTTCTCAGATTTAGGGCCTCCAGAAAGGCCTCTGAACATGCAAACCCCTTCCTGCCCTCAGCCGGGCTTTGCTGTGCACACATGAAAAATGCATGCAGGCAGCACGAGCCAATATTCCTGAACCTCCTGCTTTGCTTGCAGAACTCTGCTTCCAGGACAAACACAGATCTCGGGGAGATGAATAAACACATGCCCCCTCCTCTGCTCAGAGCTCCCTTTCAGCCCCCAGAGCACGAGGGGGATGATGGAGCCCAGGATGTGCCACAGGCAGCAGGGAACAGCCCTGGCTGTGGCAGGAAAACCTTATGGGAAAACAGGGGAAAAAAAAGCTTTAAGAAAATAATTATAATCCTGGTTTATTGGAACCTGCAACAAGAAGTCTTGTTGTCCTCCAGAGAGCTGAGTTTGCTCAAGAAAATTTGGAGCGAAAACTCGGGAAGGGAATGAAAATTCTTGCTCCAAAGCCCAGGAGAAGCTTTGCACGACATCCTTGTGCAAAGATCATGCTGCTGCAGAACCCTCCAGGCTGCCTGGGAAGTGCCAGCCAGCGTGGGAATGGGGTAATGGAATTAGGGCTGCAGTGGAAAATCCTAGCTGGATAATAAAGGCTCCTTGTTCAGGGATGGAGCACGGTGGAACTTCTCCCTGGAAGTGCTGACAGTCCTCCAAAGAGATGGAGGGAAGGATGAGAACCAATAACTAATCAATCTCCCCTCCTGAGCAATGAGGATCTGCTCTTTGTCCCTGTGCACAACTCTTTGGGACAACAGGGGGATCAAAATCCCCTCAGCACAGAGTCTGCTTCCTGCAGGATTTTTGGGAGCAGCCCTGGGATGGGGACAGGGCAGGCAGAGAGGATGGTCACAGCAGGGCTGTAGCTACAGCTGCTGCACATTAGGCACATGGCAAATAAAACCCTGCACTCAGGATGGAGTTTTTGCCCTGTTTTTGCTGCTTGTTTCTTGGAAGAAGCACTCTGTCATCTCCTCAGAGCTGCCCTGATAGCTATCTGCAGGACTCTGGGAAACAGGGCTCCTCTGCCAAGGCTCCTGTAGCCAGAAATTATTAAGACAGAAAGAGTGATTTCTTTTTTTTTTTTTTTTCACTGAACAGCACACAAGATTGATTTTTTATTTTTCTCCACGCCATGAAACTTATTCAAGGACAAGGAACAGGCTTTGGGATTTATTTCACTGTTAATTTGCATGATCCTGATTCTCAGACCTTAAAATAGGGATTGGAGCAGAGCCACATTCATGCTGTGGGGCTGAAGACCATACAATCCACCCAGCATCCAAATTTCACTGAATTTACCATGTATTTAAGCACTGTGCCTAAGCCAACAAGATTTTTCCCACTTGCAAGGGAAGCATCTTCACTGGGAGAGGGAAGAGGATGGACCCAACGAGCTGAGGGGCAGTGGTGGCTGATGTGAGCAGTCCCTTCAGGGAACCAGAGCTGCTGCTGGTTCCCACCAGATTAGATTAATTCAGATTCATTCATTTGAGATTAGTTTCTGCCATTGAGGGGTTTGTGATGGTGCAGCAAGAAATCACCTAATTTAAAGGAAAGAAGATGCAGCAATGGACAAAGCCAGGGCTCTTGGCTGCAGGGGACAGTGGGATGGGAGGGAACACTCCCAGGAGGGTATTTTCCTGGAATTACAGAATTCATTTCTAGTCTGTTCTATTTTCCAGCTAAAGGAGTGACAGCATTTTCTGTTCCTGCAGAGCTGGAGGAGAAGCAGGGTTAATACACAAGAAAACAGGGTTAGAAGCAAAGGCTCACTAAGCTCTGCACTGTTCTTGTGTAATTATGGTGCCAAAGGCTTCCAAGATAAAGGATTTTAGTGAGAACTGTAAATGCCAGTTGTAAAATGAATGAGAAAAAGCTTCATGCCCACAAGAACAGCAAAGCCTCCCTTGATTCTGCATCCCAGCTATGCCCAGCCCTCAACACACCCAACAGGGGCTCAGCCAGAGCCTTCCCAGGGGATGGCAGCTCCTTCATCCTCCGAGCTGGATCCACGACCCCTCTCCCTTTCTTGGGAAGGGCTTTTCCAGGGGGTGACCCCTGGAACCCTCCCAGTGATGCCCCAAGACTTAAACCCAGCCCTTGCCAAGGCACTGCAGGTTGTGCACGTGAATCCCCCAGCCTCCAAACCCCTTGGATGCTCTTCTCCCTTAAAACAAAAACCACTGCAGGCTCCTGCAGGACTCAGGGCTATCAGCACAACAAACAGCCCTTAACTCACAGCACATCTTTCTTCCTCAAACCCTCGGCCCTGCCTCTCCCCCAGCCCTGCTGGGATCTGTGTTTAACAGATGGGAAGGCTCTGAGCTGGTTTTACACGTGAAAAGCTGTTCCCCTCCAGCAATCTCAGCGCAGACAAGGCAGGGAAAATATGTTCCAACAGTGGGAATGGTGGCAGGGGGTGCTGGGGGTGGGTGGCAGGGCTGGGAGTGGGGCAGGGATGCCATCCATCCCTTCATCCTGGCTGTGCCTGGCTTGGGATGAACCACAGATCCCCAACCAGAACAGCAGCAGGACTCATGCTGTGGAGAAAATCCAATGTGTTCTGTAGCTGGGGGGGTGAAAACACACCCACTCCCTCCCCAGAAAAACGAGGAGAGGTAATTTAGGCTGCAAACTCATCCTTGTTATAGCCGTGGCCCTAATGAGATGTTCCCAGATTAATAATACAAATGCACTCTAACAAGGAAAGCAATTGCAAAGCAATTTTGCAGGGAGCTGAACAAAGAGCAGGATAACAGCTCTGCTTAATAGGGGCTGTCTGCTGCTTTTAATTCCTTCTGCACTTCTCCCTCAGAGGAGGAGCAGGCAGCACACCCCGGGTGCAATCCTACCCCCTCACCAGGGATGTGCCTGTGACACAGCCAGGGGGACACTTCCCAGCTGTTAAGGGCAGAAAGGTCCCTGGGCTCTCCTGCACAGGGGACAGTGGGGACAGTGGGGTGATGCCACAGCTCCTGGCACTGCTGGCTTTCCCTCGTGGAGTTGAGCAAAATCTCCAGCTAGAGACCCCAAAACTCACCCTGCTGCCTTGCCCAGCATGCACAGTGCACACAATTCCTCATGTTTTCACTTATTTAATCTGAAACTGTTCCTACCTGCATCCCAAAGGCACCCCTGGTGTCTGTTTAACCCCATTATGTGCAGCCTCTAAAGAGCCTGATGTGATTAAATACAAGGAATATGGAGAGGGGGAGAGAAGTGTTATTTTAAGGCATCATATTGAAAGGATCTTACCTAATTCCTTTGGTTTGAGCAATACTGTGGAAGGAGAGCCTGGATACTGCAGAGATCACCTGGAAATGAGAGAAAAAGAGGCTGGTGTGCTTACTGAGGACACAGGAAGGTTTGGTGGGAGCCCAAGGACCCCCAGCCTGGTGCTTGGAGCTGCACCCCACTGGAATGGAAGCGCTCCAGTCCCCCCCCCCAGTGTCACAGTGTCACCATCAGGGCTGGGAGCACACTGCCAGTGCAAACCCTGCTTTAGGTTCCACCACTGAGCACAAAAGACATTTAACCCTCAAGATATTACTGAACAGCTTCATCCGAGGAAATTCCATCCCCACTCTCATTTAATGAGCCCAGACCTGCCCTGACAGGTTTTATGCCACACTAAGAAGCATTGAGAAAACCCTCCTGCTTTGTGTTTTATTACAAAAGGATTACAACTCCTTTCTTGTCTCTCCTCACACAAAATGATCTTATTGAGGCAAACTTGCCAAGGCTGAGCAGCTCTGACTCCTTGCAATTCAATGAAGATGCATCATCAGTTTGTCAGAGGTGAGTGCAGACCATCGCCCTTTTCTGGCAGAAAACAGCCAGGAGTGATTCAACACCAAAATATTCTCATCAGCACCGCAACCAGAAGCAATAAAACCACCAGGTTTTTCAGAAGAACTCCCATTTTTGATGGAAGTTTTAATTGCTATGGGGAATTTTCAATGAAGAGGAACAAAGAATGGCTTTGAGGTAGATTTAAGCTGTGTTTTACCCTTGTTCGCATTCACTGTTTCAAATCTGGAGTGATAAAAACAAACCTGTTACTTTTGGACTGGTTTCCAATCTCCTGGGATGGGACATGGATAAAGGGCTTCTTGAGAGGGCTCCAGGTGTACAAACCCAAGCCCTGGGGGGGCTGCTGCTGCCTGGGGCTGCCCTGCATCCAACCCATCCACAGTGTTTTTTATTCCCTTTATTCAGGAATTTTACTTTGGGATGCTCCCCTGCTTTGCTGAGGCACTTCCACACCACCCACCCAGGGACCACAACCCTGGATTTTCTCCTGGGATGAACTCAGAGCCACATTTTTATCCCAGGACATCAATGATAGCCCCATCTCAGACCATCCTTTCCCTCCACACTTTTGCAACCTTCATCCCTCCCATTTTTCACGTGCCACGAATGCCAGCCTGGCTGTCAGCTGCTGGTGCCCCACATGTGGAGCCAAAGCCAGGGCAGAAACCAAAAAACTGGGAAATCGCCCAAAAGTGGGTGATTTCCACGTGGAAAACAGGGAACAGAACATCCCTGGAAAGCTCCAGGGCTCACCAGGGCACAGAACACCTCAAGTGGTACCTGGAACACCCAGCCCAGGGCACAGAGACTGGAAACTCCACCGGCACCCCCAGCCCTGCTCCAGGGGGCTTAAAATAGAACCAGGGAAGCCCTAGACTGACTGAATGAGTCTCTTCCATGCTCTATTTTTAGCCTTCTGAAGTAAAAATCCAGTTTATGAATCAGACAGTGCCACCGCGGGGTTTGACTTCCAGGGAAATTTAAGAGAAAAGCTCCCTGTTCTCCTCAGCAACAAGGCTCCCTTTGTTCTCTGCTGAGCAGCCCCAAGCTCTGCTCATCCTGGCACATCAAAGCCTGGGCACTGGTTCCAGTCAGGAGCCAGCACAGCCCGGTGGGGATCCCAAATCCATGGATCCCAAACCCACAGATCCCAAATCCATGGATCCCAAATCCATGGATCCCAAATCCACTGATCCCAAACCCACAGATCCCAAAACCACACTCAGGTGAGAAAGTCAGGAGCCAGCACAGCCCAGTGAGGATCCCAAATCCACTGATCCCAAATCCACAGATCCCAAATCCTCAGACCCCAAATTCTCAGATCCCAAATCCACGGATCCCAAACCCACAGATCCCAAACCCACAGATCCCAAATCCACGGATCCCTAATCCACAGATCCCAAGTCCTCAGATCCCAAATCCTCAGATCCCAAACCCACAGATCCCAAATCCACGGATCCCAAATCCACTGATCCCAAATGCACATTCAGGTGAGAAAGTGAGGAGCCAGCACAGCCAAATGAGGATCCCAAATCTACAGATCCCAAATCCACACTCAGGTGAGAAAGTCAGGAGCCAGCACAGCCCAGTGAGGATCCCAAATCCACTGATCCCAAATCCACACTCAGGTGAGGAAGTGAGGAGCTAGCATAGGGGAGCTAGGATCCCAAATCCATGGATTCCAAATCCACAGACCCCAAATCCAAACTCAGGTGAGAAAGCCAAGCCACCCAGTGTGAGGGATCAGGCACAAAAAGCCTCCTTGAAGCATCTCTAGAAGGACTGTGCCAATAACAGGAATATTTTTCCCCACATCATCTTCTAAGAGCAAGACAAACCCAGTGCAAGGCCAGCTCCTCAGAGATCCCAGCCCCAGCCAGGGAAGTGTTTAAGGATAATCCTCTCAATTTCAACAGGATTAAACAACATTATTAAAACTAACTCAGCGCTTAAGTGTTTGCTAAACTGTGTCTCATTTTTCCTGTAAAACAGCTTCTTATGTGCAGGCAGAGCCAGGCCTGACTTCTGGCTCTGGTGCTAGCTCAGGATCTGTCCCACACCCCCAGGGCAGCAGGAGGGTCTCTGATCCCAGCTGAGGCTTTTCCCTGCTCCTGGAATACCAGGACACACCAAAACACCTAAAACAGATATTCCAACCTGCCCCTGAACACTTAGGGATGGAGCAGCCACAGCTTCTCTGGGCAACTTTGCCAGGGCCTCCCCACCCTCACAGCCGGGAATTCCTTCCCAATATCCATCTAACCCAAATCCCTGTCAGGTTAAACCCGTTTCCCCTTGTCCTGCCACTCCAGCCCTTGCCACAAGTCACCCTCCAAGTAATTTGAAGATGTTGTTTGGAAAACTGTTCTCTTATCTGTGCATTTTTCTTCAGGAGATGTAGGGCTGTGGGTTTTAACAACAGGGGCTTATGCAGATTATTGCTATTATTATTACTTCTTCACCCATTTCTCAATGCAATTTCCTCCCTGGAAACTGCATTCAGCACACAAAATTACCATAAAAGCTATATATAACATCCCACTGACAATAAGATGGCAGGAATATAAATAGGAATATAAAGGTACCACATGCAGGTGATGCACAGACACTTTTCTCTACCAGTGACCTGCAAAGGCTTCGTGGAGAAATTTCTGGTGGTTTTGCCATGACAAGTGAGGGATGCCCTTCACATTCCTGAAATTCCAGTGTGCTTTGTATTTGTGGGCATGGGTTCAATCCAGCCACCCCAGCTGATCGTTTACTGAGCAGAGAGATCATTGCTGCAAAACAACAGCACCACAAAGTGAGGCACCAGCCCTGCAGGTGACTTCAGGTTTAAAAGGGCCCCGAGTTCTGCACTTCATGGGAAAAAGAAAGAAAATCAAAATAAAATAAAATAATCAAGACTCAAAGTGGGCTCCCCACACTCACTGGTCACTTTGGAAAACAACAAAATGAGTAAAGAAATGGGATTTTTGAAAAGAATTTAAAAAACAAAACACAGTAGTCACACTACTTCAATAAAAAATTCACCACTTTTCTTCTTTACTCCCAACACTTTCTTTTAGGAATTACAGATTTTAAAATAAACCAAACCCAGAGAGAAAATAAATCATTATGTTCACTCCTCTTCTACTTCCTCTGGCATTGTTTATGGCTGATGGTATCTCTGAGCATCTAGAAAACTCTAAAATAAACTTTTTTTTTATTTGAAAAAACAAACTGACCCAGCTGGGCTGGAGAGCACTTTGCACAGGAGGAACTTTCCAGCTCTGGGCACTCCAGGAGTGACCCTGGGAGTGGGAATGAGCTGAGGGCTCACAGCCAGCACTGAGCATTTCCAGAACAGATTTGCTTCTAAGCAAACCAGGAGCTCTGCCCAACACTGGTTAACTCTGGGCAGAGATTTCTCTGTGCCACCTCTGCACATCCCCTGCCAGGGAGAGGGGTTTTCACAGCCTGCAGTTACAGGGAGTCATTTTCTGCTTTGCCCCTAAACTCAGAAAGGGCAAAACAAATCCTCAGGCCAAACATCCCCAGCCTCAGGCAGAAACTTGACCCCAAAATCAGAGACAAACTGATGGTATCTCTGAGCAGCCAGAAAATCTCTCAAATTAACTCTCCCAGGTCTGAAAAAACAAAGCAGCTGGGCTGGGGAGCACTTGGCATGGGAGGAAGGCAGAAATACCATTTCTGAGCTGGATGATGGCATCCCTCAAACAAAACACTGATGGGAACAGTCCCAGGGACAGGAATGCTCAAAGAAAAGCAGTCCTCAGAGCAAGGAGGATTTCATCCAGCTGCCTCCTGCCTGAGGTGCTGCAGAATCCTGGATCTTCTCCCACTGGAGCACGTAGGAGCTCCTGTTTGCTCTTCTCCCTGCACACCTGGGCACCCCCCTGGGCTGGGCACCACCTGGCATTTGCACACCAAGGTCTCACCAGCAGCTTCCAGCCTCCCATCTCCCTGCTGGCACATCCCTGTGCTGTGGTTTGGACCTTGGCTGGACCAGCCTGGCAACCCAGAGCAGCCCAGAGTGTGAGGGGAGCACAAACCACCACCTGCTTGCTCTGCCTGGGGCATAAACCTGCAAGAGCTGGTGCCTTGGGAAGGCTGAGCCAGAACAGGGGCTAGAAGGAGTTAAAGAATAAAGTAGTGATTTATTAGGAGGCCTCAATGGATCCGTCTTGGGCAGCACAAGAGCCCAGCCAGGGCTACACCCAAAATGAACCAAAATGGGCACAAAATGGACACCCAGTCACAGGGCCTCTTAATTTATAAGTTCTGCTCCATTTGCATCTTGGAGTTAATTGTCCAATTCCAGCTTTTAGCCCACGCAGTCCCATCCTTCTTGTTTTTCTCTTACAAGGAGGAGAACAATTCAAATGGATTTATGGCTACTGCTAGAAAATCTCTGCACTCTGTTACACCACCGTAAGTTACCCAGGTGCACACACCCCATCTCCCATATTTAAGACACCAATTTGTCTTTTCCCATCAC